GTGAAACAGGCTTAAGAAACACGGGAAAAACTTTTTTAAGGGGCAAAAAAAATAAAATATTCATTGAAGCCTCGATTGGTCTAAAAAAAGGACACTTATTTGATGAAAGGATACTTAATTGTTGAAAGGACACTTGAATGTTGAAAGCGACGTGCAACCCCGCGAAAGGACACTCATTTGTTTCTAAGGACACTTTAATGTTTTTAAGGACACTTGATTGTTTAGAGCAGTGGACGGTTTGATGGAAGGACACTTAATTGTGGAAAGGACACTTAATTGTTAAAAGGACACCTAAATGTTTCATGGGGTAATTTATATACTTTTAGGACACTCAAATGTTTTTAGGGACATTTATTTGTGGAAAGGACACTCAAATGTTGAAGGTGCCATGGATCCCGGGAAAGGACACTTGTTTGTTTTTTAGGACACTCCATTGTTTTTAGGGACACTTGATTGTTTAAGACAGCAGACAGTCCGATGAAAGGACACTTATTTGTTGAAAGGACACTCAATTGTTGAAAGGACACCTGATTGTTTTTGAGGACGCCGGTAAAATTTTTGGGACACTTATATGTTTTTAGGGACACTTAATTGCTTTTAGGGACACTTATTTGTTGAAAGGACACGTAAATGTTGAAAGGACACCCAAACTGTAACAGAGCCGAAAAAACATATTCCATCTCACCGAGTCAGGGCGAACAAAATGAATCATCAACCGAGTAAATTGGCTGAAAACTCGCCTGGATTACCTCAAACTAAACCGAGCGAGATTCAACGTTGCGTAACATCACTCGATTGTTTAGGATGACACCCACGAACCTCCGCTTCTTACACACAAAAAATGTAGAATAGACAAGTATTATAGTTCGTTAGTTTCAAATTTTTTCTCACAGTCATATCCTTTGTGAATTCGAATGAAAAAAATTGTAAACAACGTGACAGCAGTTCTTTTTTTACAAATATTTCCCTCTGAATTTATTAGAATCTTTCAATTACTTTTATGAAATTGGTGTATTGAAAATAACATAAGAGCGATGCTGATGATAAACTAAAATAATTCCCAATATTTTTTTAGGATGGCACTAAAGAACTAACTTTTCCCAACGTTGCATAACTTGCCAGATCGAAGCCCCGCCCTCCTCACACACAAAACATAGTGGACGGCGGAACCCGGTTTTTGTCGGCTGCGCGTTTTCATTACCACCCGCCGCTGAACCACTTGGTTCACCGTTCCCCCCTACGAGGAGTGTTGTGTTCTCTTTGAATTTCTCACTGAGATAATTCACCCACGTGGTCGGAGTAGCTGTTCGTGGCGACTTGAACCCGTCATGACAGTCCGTAGGGGTCGCTCCCCACTATCATTTTTGGAAACGGCCCAACTGAAAGTTGGGCCAAAAGTTTTGGAAGGTTAATGCATACGTAATAGCTGAGATTCGCATTACTTCGCAGTTTATTCAACTGCTACTGCGACGCAATCAGTACAACACGACGTAGAGAAAAGATCACGAAAGAAATTAGAGAGACCTGAAGATTGAGATTGACAGCCAGAACTAAACTTCACAACATTTGGTTGAACACACTTCCGTCATATTGCTCGAAGTCGGTTGCTAAATGTTGCCGTTTTGAAAATGCTCAATGCTACTTTTGGAAAAATAGTACTCCAAGAAGAATAACAGACAACAATAATTATAAAGACTCTCAAAACGGTTGCAACGGTTTCAAATAATTCATTGCTGTCAATTAACTGATTGTAGCCGCTGATTGCTAGAAGCTTCTGTCCAAATGCAAGACTATCACAGGCTACTGCTGCTCCAGAATGATGAAAGTGAAAGCAATCTCACTTGTATAGAAAAGGGATTCGTTACCTACAAGAAAATGTCCGTCCGCATACAGCTGGAACTTCCAAAACCTAGCTTGCTAGATCCAACTGAACTGTCATTGTTTATGTTCTATATACTCCTGGCAATGCTTTTTCAGATAAGATTTTAATCAATGATGCGCAGCCTTTTCTTGGAGAAATTGATTTCAACAATCGCAAAGATGTCCAGAAATGGTTGACTAATGATTCGAGAAATACTGCGTTTTGGAAGGAAGGTATCCGGAGAGAGAGAGCAGAAGATTCCCACTCTGTACTCACTCAAACTTATCAAAACTAAAAGAAAAAAGGTTAGCCCACGGAGGGACTCGAACCCCCATGCCCGGTTCCGGAGTCCGGTGCCTTATCCATTAGGCCACGCGGGCACCCCCGGATCACTGTATTCTGGAACTTATATAGTGATCAGTCCGA